TGGGCATACAAGAAATCTCTCAGCAGTTAATACAAGCAGAATTTTTAGGAGACTATTATAAACTAGCTGTTTCTACAGAATTCAAGTAATCTATTCTTTTAAGTCCACAGAGCTGGTGTGACCACAGGGAACGTGTGTCCTGAGCACAGCCCCAGCCCTACTCCGATTAATGTTAAACATATCCGTTTCAGCTCACTCTATCATTCACTCTTTGCTACTCAGAGCATCTGTAAGAAGTGTTTGTCTCGCTGCTTCCCTTAGGATGGCTCTTCAGTTCTTTGATCCAGTTTAGAAATTAAGTTCCTTGACTCAAATATTAAATCTTCATCCATTTTGTGCTAGACATCTTTGATAAAGTAACTAAAAGCGAGCAGCACTGAATCAAGATTTAAGAATGAAAACTGCTTTTTTTTTTTTACACAACTTACTGCCACACCACATGTTTTGCTGCTGAAGGTGACTGTCCAATATAATTAATGAGTATCATTTTTCCAACCACTTATAACCAGTGTTATGTCATTAACCAACCATGTATGAGAAATACATGCTCAGAAAAAAATTTACTGGCTCAGATCTCTTAACTTTCTTTACCTGCTAATTGTGATGCATAAGCCCATAGGAAATGGCAACGTTTCATGCAGGCCTGGCACACCATTTCATGGAAGTCTCCACTTTCAGGGGGAACTGCACCAAGATGCTGTCAGAAAGAAGTAAGCACACAGAAGTGAAGCATCTATATTGATCACATACTGAACTTCAGAAGAATTCAGTCCCAAAGCTGTCCATAAATTGATGAGAACTCTTTGGGCAATTAAAAGCACTTAGTGGCTTTCTTCTGAAAAAGCATTCCTGCAAAGGTCATAGTATGCAGCACAACACACTTCATTCATACACTTAATACAAAAGAAGTTTACCTATGAGAACCCATAATTGAAGCCAATCGTATTCTTTTTCCTCTTTGATCCTGCAATTTCAAGCATGGAATTTCACTTGTGCCCTTCAAGGCACAAGAGGCTGAATCCTTAATGCTTACCCATTAAGTAGGGCACCCACTACAGTGCTTGGCTGCTTCCCCAAAGTTTGAAATCAAGAATGAACAGCACAGTCTGCTCCTTGCTACTTAAAGGAAATAAGAGTTTTAAAGGCATTCTTTTGAAGGAAGAACTATTTAGGTACTTGATAATGATGTGCCTCAGCAAGAATCTTTTCCTCACCAGCTATGCTGATTAGAGTTTTCTAATTAAAGAGACAGTTATAAAGTTATTACTTTATTCTGCAGTGGTAACCTTCAAAAAGGTAGGACTCTTCCCAGTATTTTTTAACTGGAGTGGACAGCAGTGCAAGATTAGACCTTCAATGCTCCTTTGCATAAGCTGAAAACAAATGCCTTGGAACTCCTGTAATAATCTCTTTTGAGAAATACAGCAAACTTCCCAAGTAAGAATTACCATACAAACCTAACCACCACCAACTCGATCCTGTGCAAACGGCAGTTCTGCTATTTATGAGCTTCCTTACCCTTCCATGGAACCAGTCTTCACAAACTATGCACTGGATCATCTCATCTGGAATCTAGATGAACAATCATATTATTAGCATTAATAGCAACCTCCAGAATCTCTCACCAGTCTCAAACTGCAGTATCATGCAAATGCTGCTCAGTGAACTGCATTTCCCTCTTCACCCCTCACAGGGAGCTGCCATTAGTAAGTAGTAAGTGCTTTGTTAGTCAGTTTGCTTCCCCAGGTTCAACAGCACATGTCACCTCTCATATGACTGAGGCTGTGAAATCCCATTTGTTACTACAAAACCAGTCTTCCCAGCAGGGCAAGACTTTCTCACAGAAAGCTGATAGAAGTTAATACACTACTGGTATCCTTCTTCCTATAAGCAGAAATGCATGAACAGACAGCTCAGCAGAAGAAAGATACTGATATTCACTGTCATCAGGTCAGTGAAGATGCCAGAACCAAACTTAACTGGCCACCATACAGGACAGTATGAAGTACTTTGTTATGAAACAACTATTAATTATTCAGAAATGTTTCTTCAGAAATGTTTTTATCTCTCTCTGAACTTGAGAGAGGGGAGCTTATAAAATGCTTTTCTTTTTGTATTTGAAAGATTTGTGCCTTCCCTGCTCTTTAAAACACCTGATTCCTGTGACTGCAAACAACAGCACACATGTGCAAAGCCAGTGCTGTGTTTTAGTGTTTCAGAGAGATAAATAAGTGTTCTGGCTACCATCCAGGACTGTAGCTAGTGCTACAGGACAGGACAGACTCTCCTCATCCCAGAAGTCTTCCCAGAGCATTTCTGCAGGCACGGGGAAGCACATTCTGGTCTCTCCTAACACGTGCAATGCTTTTATTCTGCACTAGACCACATTTCTCAAGGTTATGATAACCCTGTCTCCTAGGGGAAGTCTGCAACTTCAGCACCATATTGTCCAAATGATGACTTGCCTCCTCATCTGTCTCTACAGCATAAACATACTTTACCATTTAAAAAAATTATCAAGTAATTACTTCACACAATGTATGCAAACCAATATGGAACATAAGATTTCTTGAAGGGGGATCTTCCTTGAAAAGCCGCTCAATGATCACCCTTTACACAGTGTCTACCATAAACACCATCTATGTATGATTACTACTGGATTTTGTATTTCTTACCTCATCTTCAGGATCAGGGTAAGGTCTTTTACATATACAGTACAATCCATAGAAATTGTCATTATATTTATTTCCTGAATTCACCTTGCCTTTTTCCTAGGAGAAAAGGGGAAAAAGTCTCAAAAGACAACACAGTAAAAAACAAAATACAGTAAATGACAAAAGACAGCCATTTCTGTTCCCCCCGAATTCCTAAAACCATCATTATTTTCATCAGCCTGAACAAACAAAAAGAAAGATACTCTCCAAACACCTCTGTTTTACACTGAGCAGCAGACAGGGCACATGAGGAATGCTAAAGTTCAAAACTAAAGAGGAAAAACAGTCTGCTCACCCTTGTAGCAAATGGCAACTGCAGTGTCAGAGAGATTAACAGACAGCTGCTGAAGCTCACTTAACCTGTACAATTGAATTTTCACTGAACTGAAGCAGAAGAACAACCATGTGATCCATTTCATTGACTCAAATGAGAAATGGAACATCTTAAAATTGTCACAGGTGTCTCTGTAGGGATCACTGCACCGTGACTTTGCTGACTAGCTCTGGATCCATTTCAATTCTCCCAGAACAAACCAGGCATACACAAAACCACTGTCTGTTTCAATGTTTGGACTGCTATTATCCTGGGAGCACCAGTGCAATCAAACCAAGCATCCTGTTGCCGTTTCCCAGAAGATTCAGATTGCTAGTTACTTGAAAAGTTCAAAATGCCCACAAAAGTACAAAAGTATAGGCAGCTTAATACAGTAAAAAAACATCACATCAGTAGACTCTGGTGACAAACTATAAGGGTACTAATGCCATCACAAAGAAGGAAAGGGAACTGTCCCCCTGACAGCAGCACAGCCTTAAAGTTTCTTAATGCGACTGCAAAATTGCATCCCAAAAGATTATTCTGAAACAGCTTAAAGCTAATGAGAGGTATTAGTGCAGAAACACCACAATCTGCTTCTGGAAGCGTGCTGACCATGGATGCAGAACTGCTGCACTCATGGATGACAAGGATCAAATGTTCCTTCTGCTCCCAGCATTTCCCTTTGGTCCCTCAACAGTTTTATTCCTTGCTGTAATATTCCCACCTTTTTTAACTCCCTAGGAAGACTGGAGGCGTCGCATGAGTGAGCACTGGCTGAGGCAAGACATCAACCTCCCAAGGCTGTTATTTTGAGTCCGAATGCCTGAAACCTGTCTGAAACTTACCGGGAGTAACTTGCACTGCAGATTTTTGAACTTGCTATTTCCACAGTCACAGCGGAAATTCCTGGAGAGAAAAACGTAGCGTTTCAGGGTTTATATAAAGTGAGAACACGCTGGGTTTCGTATTCCTAACAATTCCCAGCAGTTTACCAGGAGCCGCGAGAGCTGTGAGGCTCCTACACGGCCGCTCCCGCCCCCGCGCCCGTACCTCTTGGTGTAGAGCTCGAAGAGGCGGTGGGTGCCGTGGCACTCGTAGCTGCAGGCCAGGCAGATCCCCGCGGGCTCGGCGCCGGGCGGCGTGCAGGTGCTGCAGGCGTACAGCGCCTGCCGCTTCACGGCGCCCTGCGGAGACACCGACCGGCCGCGGCGTGAGGGCAGGGCAGGGCAGGGCAGGGCAGGGCAGGGCTGGGCCGCCCCGCCTCGCCCCCGGGCCTCGCCCCCGGGCCCC